GACCGGGTCGCGGTTTCAACTCGAAATTTAGGCCCGGTGCGACGCGATAACCGACGGACGACGCGATTTCTTTGCGATTTCGTTGTGATTTCATTACAATGTCATTCCAATTGCGATTTCGTACCGGCGAGATCGCGCTGCTCGCCAGCTTTATGTTTCCAATAAAGAGACCACACACCGGTGTGCGTTTTATCGTTAAATACATAAACTTGCCTAATAGCACGCAAAGCCGAAATCACGCGTTCCCATCACCCAGCTTTAGATAGGCATAATCCTTCATCGATCAACGATCATCCTTTCGACCGTCGATACATCGCGTGTGTCTTCTCGCGTCGGTTCAATTCCCGTCGCTGAAATGCGCGCCAAACTTCGATTCCTCCGTGATGCGTTACCTTATAGTTTCCTCGATGCTCCCTGTATTATATACGTTGTTTAACCTCGTCGATTTACGTTAGAATCTTCTAATTTCGCACCGGTGCCTCGAACAACTCCACTGTCTTGGTTCGAAAGGAACACCAACGAAGTCTTATCCCCTGGCTACCGTGTCCAACATCGACGATCTCTTTCACGATTTCACGAAGCGATCGGTGAGTACTTACGATCGACAGCCACGCGTGTCACGCGCTCGTACGTATTTACTCACGTACACGGCAGCGTAAACGAAACACCAGGACGTTCTTCTACTCGCAAGCAATAAGTCACCAGAGAAGTCACTGAGATCCGACGATACGAGAATCTTCTCATCGAATTGCACGCTCCTGTATCACGAGTTGGAGGCTGGTTTGTCACCCGTCGACCATAATCACGATGACGACAATGACGACGACGACGATGACAAGGATGACGATATGATCGCGACGTAGCATAACACTGGCTCGATGCGTGCACAAAATAGCGGTATGAACGGTGCCACGAACACCCGGGTTCGCGTTAACCTCTCCACGCTCGTGGAAATGTCAAACGACGACGACGTTGGCTCGATTCACCGTCGCACCGGCAGCGGCGGCCGTCGCTCGCGTGGGAGTGTGACATAATACAACGGCGTTAGTGATTTCGAGCGCGTTGTGCGTCGATTTAGCCGGTTGTCACGAGATTCACGCCACCACTCCCGCCTCCAGTACCTCCATAGAGAATCCTGACGAAACTCGACGAAAAACTTGTCTATTTTGTCCCTTTGGATCTATCTAGCGCGTACCCCGATGTAATTAAAGTTTCCTATTGCAGTTTCCTAACCGTTCTAATTTCACGATCGATCTACGGACAACGTGATCCAGGTCGAAACGTGCGGTCCTGTCTATCGTTGATCTCTATCGATGGCTCGGGCGCGTGCGTCCAACTCGGTCGCGGCAGCCGGCCCCGGCTGACTCTCGCGTGTTCCGTGGTGCACGACTCGAG